CCATTCACAGAATTAATCTGTTGTAATGTAAATCAACTCCAAGATGACTGTCAAACAGAATCACAGTCTTGACTAAACCTACTAGTGTTGACAAATATGGTGACGGGATTAGATAAAATGCAATCACTTCCTACTATCCCAGATTTCAACAGCCAATCAGGTCAAAGGTAGTGAGCTAGGAGGTATGGCCAACAGGAGTATATAAGGATGCTCTGGCAATGCTGGCTGGTTTTGAGCCCACCTGGGTGCAGAAACTGCCTTCTTGGTTCCTGATCTCCAATGCTTGGATTTAAAGACACATCAACCTGCCCTCTTCCTGCCTATCGTGGATTTGCTCAGCCAGCAACCTGACTTGTTCATCCTGGGATCTTCTGTGGTGACAACCTTGAAGCTGAGGACCTTGACCAGAAAAAGACTATATTTTCTAAGGAGGTAAGGAGATTCTCAGAACTGGGTGTGTTGCACTCCCCTGCCTCATTCTCCCTGAAACTAATACAACCGTCTTTTCAGCACAGGTTCTGAGCAGAATCCACGGTATGAGCAGCTCCTCTCCACCCAGCCTCTTTGATCTGGCAAAGCAGAGGCTAATGAAAGATGAGGTGCGGGCCATCAAGGCTCTGCAGTCTGTGCCTCCGTTCCTCGTCCCACCACTAATGACGGAGGTCATCTCCAGCAGGAACACCAAGATTCTGCAGGCCATTGTGCAAGCCTGGCCCTTCCCCTGCCTGCCCCTGAGGGCTTGGATAGAGGATCAGCAGGCTTACCCAGATGTCTTAGATGCTGCCCTAAATGGCTTTGATGTCCTCCTTGATTTGAAAGTTCCACCAAGTGGATGCAATCTGAAAGTGTTAGACCTACGGCCAGACTTCATCAAGACCTTCTGGAAGTTGGAGTCTTCAAATGAGCCCTGCAACTCTCAGAGCTCCTCACACAGTCCTAGCTCAGGAGAGGAGAAGCCATCTCCTCTTGTCCTGAAGCTCGTCACAGATCTGTGCTTCGGTGATGCTTGTGGATATCGAGTGCTCGACTTCCTCATCTCGAGAATCGAGAAGGGGAAGGTTCTGCCCCAACTTTGCTGTAGGACCCTGGAAATCTTAAGGATGCCAACAACTTACACAGTTAAGGAGGAGATCCTGCAAAACATTCATCTTGATTGTGTCCGGGAGCTAGAAATCACCCACAGCCTGAAGCTTCAGGACCTGCACAGCTTTGCTCCTTTCCTGCGGGAGATGGTTCATCTGAACACACTCCAACTCCGTCCATTTATTCGGAATCCCTGTGTTACTTGGGCTGAACAGGAGATGGACGATGTCTACTCTCGACTCACCTATCAGTTCTTACCTTTGAAACAACTCAAGCATCTCTTCCTGTCCTCTGTGTTTTACCCGAAAGGACACCTGGGCCAGATCCTCAGGTACCTGGACACCCCCTTGGAAACTCTCTCCATCACACGTTGCTTGCTGTCACAATCAGACATCATGTGCCTGAGCTTGTGCCCCTGCACAGGTCACCTAAAGTGTCTTGATTTGCATCGTGTCATCCTGACTGACTTCAATCCTGAATTTTTCAGAGTTCTGTTACAAAGAGTCTCAGCCACCTTGGAATATCTGGACTTAGGTGGTTGTAGCATATCTGACTCCCAGTTCACTGCGATGCTGCCTGCCCTGTGCCTCTGCTCTAAGCTCCATTTCTTCCAGTTCTGTGGGAACCAAGTGTCCAGTGTTGGCCTGGAGAACCTGCTGAGAGAGACACTTCCACCCAACCAGAGCAGGCACCTGTTGCTTCCACTCCCTCTGGAGTGTTATGGGGGTCTCCATGGTGGTGTCCACCCAGGGAACCTTCAGCGGTATCTGACTCAGCTGACACTGCTCTTTCAGGAGGTAGGGCCACCAACTAGGATCTGTATGAATGACGGCTTTTTTCCCTATGACGTGATTGAGCTCTGGTTTGAGGTCTGATGATGTTCTCCTCACAGGGATGACACCCTCTTAAATCCTTGAAGCATAATATTAATAATTTTTCATAATTGTGGATCAGTGAATTTGTGAAGGGTAAGGCACAAGTGACTTGTAGATAGAAAAGAGGGCTAAGGGGAGGGGATGGAGAGCAATATGTAAGCAAGAATGCAAAGCCAAAATCGGCTAACATTTGTTAAAGTGATAACAATGCTAATAATAAAATATTTAAAAGATGCAAGTGTAATTATTTCATGATGATTTGATTACTGGTTAAGTGAATTTGTTATCTTGTAGAATAAATACAATTTAAGGGATTAACCTTAGTCAAGTCAGATCCCTGACTGAGCTGTCTGTGCCTGCCCAACTAATTGTGTGAAGTTCCACTGCAAGCCACACCCATGTCTGATCAGTGCCTGCCTGCCTAATGCAGTTGTTATTCTAAGTGTGTTCTTTTTTTTTCTCCATTCTCAGAGTTATCTTTTAATTTTCTTTTTTTAAATTAAATTGTGATTCTAACGAAGGTTTACAGAAAAGGTGGATTTTTCACTCATTCATTAGTACACATTTCCCTCCCTATCCCTTTAGTTCCCTTATTTTTTTTTTTAATTTAGGTTGTTTATTTTTCATTTCAATGAACATCTACAGAGGTTTTGGGATTCCGTTCATTCATTGTTGCACCCTTCTCCCCGCACAAACCCCTCCCCCCCCCGTTTGCTCCTCTCCTTGAAAAGCAAAAGAAAACCTCCCTCATTGGTACACAATCCCCCCTACCCCCAAATATAATCCACTCTGCAACCCTCATTGCATACTCTTACAATAAAAATAATGCCCTAAAATACAATACTTTTAGACTATTCTCTCCCCCATAGACTTCAATGCCGTAAACATATTTCATCCAGTTTTTCTCAGTCTTACC